AGAATCCTTGACTCCAGGGAGCACTCTGGCTTCACCCTCTCCAGGACAAACCTGTTTGTTCTCCTAGCAGTCCATGGTATATTCAACACTCTTCTCCAGCACCACAGCTCAAAGGCATCAATCCTCTTTCTATCAGCCCTATTCACTGTCCAACTCTCTGATGCATAGCACATAACTGCAAAGACTATAGCCCGGATCAGGCGCACCTTAGTCTCCAGCCTGACATCGTTGCTCTTCAGTACTCTTGAGAGGTCCCTCACAGCAGACTTTCTCAATGCAGTTCGTCTCCTGATTTCCTGGCTGCTGTTACCAAGAGCGTTGACTATGGAGCCAAGTAATTTAAACCTGTTAACTATCTCAATCTCCTCACCATCCATGCTGATGCTGCCAATTGGCCCAGTGGTTAGAATCTTTGTTTTCTGGACATTTAGCTTCAGTCCATATAGGAGGCTGCAGTCCTTGATCTTCTGCAGCAAGCGCTTCAGGTCCTCCTCAGTTTCAGAGAGCAGGGTTGTGTCATCTGCATAACGCAGGTTGTTGATGATTCTTCCCCCAATCCTGATGCCACATTCCTCTTCGTATAGCCCAGTGTCTCCAATGATCTGTTCTGCATACAGATTGAAAAGGTGTGGAGACAGAATACATCCCTGACGGACCCCCTTCTTGATTTTGAACCATGTAGTGTCTCCTTGCTCTGTTCTGACGACTGCCTCCTGGTCCAAGTATAGGTTTCACATTAGTACAATCAAATGTTCTGGGATTCCCATTCTTCTTAGAGTCAGCCACAGTTTATTGTGATCCACACAGTCAAAAGCCTTTGCATAGTCAATGAAGCACAGATAGACATTCTTCTGGTATTCTTTGCTTTCTGCCAAGATCCATCTGACATTAGCTATAATATCCCTAGTACCACGACCTCTTCTAAATCCAGCCTGCACATCTGGCAGTTCTCTGTTGACATATTGTTCCAAACGTTTTTGGATAATTTTCAGCAGAATCTTGCTTGCATGTGATATCAATGATATTGTTCAATAATTTCCACAATCTGTTGGGTCACCTTTCTTTGGAATGGAAACAAATATTGATCTTTTCCAGTCAATGGGTCAGCTAGCTGTTCATCCAGGCCAGTGTCTGTTTGTTTGTTTGTCTATCTATCTATTTATTTATTTTTCTCTTGTCTCTTTTATCAGTCACAATGTGGTGCCTTTAGACTCTGACACTGCTTTAAAACATCATTAGAAATGTCTTTCTTCTAAAAGGTATCAAATTGCCCAAGAGGTTTTCTACGCTTGTTGAGGAATTGGTGTAGAAATATTTAAAATGCTCTGCTTTACTCTGAAGATACAAATTCACATGTCTCTGCCTTTTCTGATAATATTTTTCCCCACATATTAAAAACACATTTATTTCATTTCCAAAAAAAGAAAACAAGATAGATCAGACAAAAAGTTCCCTAATACATATGTAGGTCCCCTCACCTCATCTTTTCCCCTAAGAAATAAAAACAGAGAATTCGAACTCTCTACAGACCATCTCATCAGAAAAATGATTCCTTCTTGTCTCTAATGCATCTCACCTCACCTTCCAGGAAAAGAATTATTTTATTTTCTCTTTGCTAGCAATGCTTATTTTTATGCTTGTTTTTCCTGCTACAGTAACTCAAGTGTGAATGTTCAGGCACGACATCCCTAGTACTCGGGGCGGGGGCGGGGGCTGACCCTGACATGCTGCGCACTGAGAGAAGGGAAGTGGAATCTTTGTTCCCATTAGATCATCAATGGAAGAAGCACCGAAGATAACTGCCGAGTCTCTTCCTTTTCTCCTGAATCTGTTTGTTATGAAGTGGTCTGTTTGCTATTCCAAGTCTTTGGTGTAGGCTCGGTGGTCTCCCTGACTGTCAATGAGCTCTTTTTCAGTTCTTTCTTTGTAAGTGCCTTCTTCTTATTGCTTCTGCCTCCTCAGTTTCCATCAGTAAAGCCAACCACAAGGGCACCTGGCCAACTTATCCACCCAGCTCAGCCAATTCTTACTGTGGTTCTCACAAGTCAAAGGAAAAGCCTCATTGGGTTAGGAAGAGATCCCAAAACTCCTGGAAAAAATGGACTCTTAAATGCTGTCATTCTCTTCCATTGTTTTTGTTGTTGTTGTTGTTGTATACCATCAAGTCAGAACTGACTCTTAGGTGGGTTTTCAGAGGCAGTTAATTACAGGGGAGGAGATTGCCCATCCTTCTCCCACAGAGCAGCTGGTGGCCTTGAACTGTGTGTCTTCGGGCTTCCAGTGCAGCTTCTTGCCACAAGACCACCAGTGCTCCTTAAAAGATTTTCTTTTTCTTTCTTTTTTTTTTACTAATGATTTAGGAACTTCCATCTCCATCAGCCTACTTCCAGTTCCTCAATTGTACTGTTGAAGTCTATCTGTTCTAGGCTATGAACTCATCTAGTCAGACAATTTTGAATAGGCTTTTCTGTATCTTTCCCCAACAAACAACAGAATTACTCAACTCTATTATTATGTATCTGAGATGGCAAAAGAGATACAATAAATTGTAGTAGTTAAATCAATGAGAGGAATGTGGCTTTACCTTTTGTGGGAGAATTTCAAGCTTTCTGCTGAGTTTTATTGGGTAAATCAGACAGGAAAATGATAGTTCTAGGAGATCAGTGTATATTCCAAAACATACCAGTAATTCTTTACCTGACATCTCTTACAAGATATCAACTAGAGAGGCAGGGTGGCAGAATGATAAAGAGAATGAATGGCCTCAGATGGTAGACTGGGTTTGACTTCCAGCTCTAACATTTACTAGACATGGAGCTTTGGGCAAAGTGTTTGAAGTCTCATTGCTGTTTCCTTATCTGTGTAAGGAGGCCTGTTTCAAGATTAAGCAAGCAAATACAGTGAAATCTGTGATAACTGGAACTCAACAAGACTGCCTTTGGCACGGTGCCAAATATACCCTGTTTCTCTTGCTCTCTACTATTGGAAAATACTGGAATCTTCTTTTTCTGACAAGTATCAAGCTGACACAGTCTGACTTTTGCTGGTTTTACTGTACATGCCAAACAAACACTTAGGGAGTAGCTGGAATACTAAGATCTTATAAGTGCTTGCTACATATTTACCTCACACTGAGAAAGGTAGAGTGACAATAAAAAAAAGGATGACCTTCATTGAGGTGGATTGACACAGAGAGGGCAACGATGGACTTGAACATGGCAGAGATAGTGCAGATGTGAAAGAATAGGGCAAGGTTCTGATCTGTTGCTCATGGGGCCAATATGAATTGTCGTTGACTCACTGGCCCCAAATAATAACAATAACAGCATATTTTTAATTCACCTATTGTTTGAGGGACAATGACTGATTCACAACACAAAAAATAGTATACTGCATTTTACATTGACTTGAAGAGCAAAGGAGTGGCTTTGCTAGGATTATCTTCAAACCTAGAAACCTATTTAAGATGGCAATAACTTTTCTGTGTCAGTCAGGACATTTTTCTCCTTGACCATCTCTGAAATTAATCAATAATCATGACTCACCAACAATTATTAAAAGATCCAGAGATGCTGAGAGTGGATATAAATCTTGCACTGATCTATACTCTCCTCATGTATTTCAGAAATTTTTATACTATATATTATTCTAAGCCTTAATTTTTATTAAGTCATTCCCTCTTTACTATTGATGGAAATCTTGGCAAACTCAAAGGGTTAGTTTAAAATGGCCTGAATGTTTTCTTCTGGCAGATTTGTAGAAAGGTGAGTTAGAGCTTTTTTTTTTTTAATAAATGGCTAAATGTTCACAAACTTAAAGATTTTTGTATTGGTTGAAAGCAAAATTATTTCAAGTAAAATTCCGCCCCCCCCCCTCCAAGCAATCTTTCAAAGTATGATCAATGCAACCTGTAGGTAATATACTATCACTTCGGATACTAAGAAGCCAAATAAAATGGTAATGTTTTGGTAGTATGGACTGATAACAACAATGCTTCAAAAAGAGTATGCTGTTGATGGCAGGCTGTTCAGTGAGGCTCTGCATGAAAGAGAACTGTGTTAACAATTTTCCCCCCAACTCACCCTTCCAGTTACTGGGTGAGAGAGAGCAAACACATAAAAGATTCAGCCTCTCAATCCAACTGTTGATATTCAGGCTCAAGTCAGCATCAATTAGAATTTAATTAGTATTAGAAACCTGCATCTCATTTAAGGGGCCCTGTGGGATTGTAGCTAAAAATTGATCAAAGAGCTTGAGGATGGTGCAGGGTGGTGCAGGGTAGGGCAGGGTTCGGATCCATCTTTTGTAAGGTCACTATGAATCACAGCAGACTCCCTAGCACCTAACAATAACATGGTGTAGCTGTTAAAACACTTATCTGTTAACTTCAAGGTCAGTGGTTCAAATCCACCAGCTGCTCTGAAACAGAAAAACACGGCAGTCTACTTTCGTAAAAATGTACTTACTCTCCTTGGAAACCCTTTGAGGAAGTTTTACTCTGCCCTATGAGTCCCTGTGATTAGGAATCAACCTGAAGGCAGATTTTGTTTTGGTATCCTATTTTGGGTAAAATAATTGTAAAAATTAGTTTTAAGTAAAAGTGGCATTGTATAGTCATTGCATTCTGGTTGAATCTAGCAGGTTAGCTTGTTGTTATTTAACTGCTCATGCCTAATGATTAAATTATCATTCTTTCTTTTGTCCTTAGATGAGACAGAAAAGCACATTTGATTTATGTCCCTTCCGCACACAAGCAATTAATTTGCATAATGCCTAATGACGCTTCCTTTCAGATTCCCACGTGTTTACCATATATTGCTCCGATCATGCCAACAAGCTGTCACGATGAGAAAAAAAAAAATCTCCAAGAGCATAAGAAAGCTGGAGCTATCCTACAATTCTCACAATCACTCCATCTGACAGTATTCCCAGGCAGCCAGATGGCTCTGAGAAACAGGATCCAGGTTTGTTACTTTTGCTTTGGGGATCCAAGGACTCACCCACAATGACAGCAGTGACGGTGAGAAGAACGAAAGCATTCCGGAACAGGTAGCTTTTCACGTCCTCCTTGGTGATGTTCTGCACTTTCTTCTTGGCCAAGAGCGTGCGTTTGCGGACTCCTCGCTGCAGCCTCTCCATCCTGCCCCCCACCTTGGCCTCTTCGCCATTGCTTTTAGTCATATTTTACTTCTCGGGGACTGTCTCTTCTTTGCCTTTCAACGTCTCGGAAGCAAGCAACAAGGTAAAAGGAGTCAAAGGACACACCTGCAACGAGAGCAAGAGAAACAAGTGTTATAGCTTCTAAGGATGAGAAACTCATACTCCTGCTCCACACCAGGGTCAGTGTGTGGAGTAAAAGGCATGATCTCAGTGAGAATCACATGGGCTGCAAGGTGACCATGCCAGGTTTCAAGGCTACTAAAATGTGCATATTTTGCTGAGTAGGTATAAAAAATGTACATAAACTCCGAATGCATGGGTCGTAAGTGTTCTTAAGTGAGCTTTGGTGGCCTTGTGGCAAGAAGCTGCATTGCAATCTCAAAGGCAAGTAGTTCGAGTCCACCGGCTGCTCTACAGGTGAAAGATGGGCAGTCTCCTCCCTTGAGATTAACTGCCTCTGAAAATCTACTGGGAGGGTCAGCTATGTGTCGGTTCCCACTGGATGGTACACAACAACAACATTTCCATGCTCCTACAATAAAATTTTAAAGGCTCCTGCAAAGCTGGAATACAAACTACGCCCCCCACCCCACCACAGAACCCAGCCGAGAGCATTGGGCAGTCAATGGCTGTCCTATTAAACTAAATGCAAAGGAAAGACACAATAATTACTTGATGGCTTATATCAGTCCTATATATAAATACACGGTGACAGCATATCCTTAACAATTAAACGTATTAAAGACTGACATTTGCCAGGTAAAGCCTTTCAATTATATACAGTGAAGTGTCCATTTTCTTCATTAGGATAAAAAGCCATGATAATCCCAATTAGTAAATATAACGGACATACAAACACATGCCCTGAAGACACAAGAAGGAGATTTGATTATTTCACAGGGTGATTTCAAATATCGCCCCCCCCCCCGATGAAATCAGGTAAGTGCTTTGAGCACGTCTGTAAAGTCACAGAACTCATAATTCATTTTCGTTCCTCATGACAAGCAGAAGTACAAAGTAGGATCTGTCCCGGTGGCACATATCCTAGAGTCTTCTGAGGACACCACCACTGACTTCTAAGTTTTTCATTCCTAACATTACAGTGCGCGGTTTCTAGTTTCTTGAAAGCACTCTTACGTCACGCGAATATATCGCAGTAAATCTCTTTGGAGCAGATCAGCAGTCAGGAGCCAGGCGTTCCTCCAGCTTTAGATTTCTAACTCACACTCTAGCGGGGGATCGATCCGATGGAGGAGAGGGAGCCCTGCGGCCGTGTGGATCTGGCAATGCCCGCAGTTCGCGTGTGCGTCCTTGGGGGAGGCGACTGGACACTCCTCGCAAACTCTTGGCAAATCCAAGCGAAGGGGTGGTGGGGGTGGGGAAAGGGACTCATCTGAACAGTTTTGACTTTTTAAGTCAAATCGCAGATTGGGGTCAGTGGTAATAAAACCTCCGACTTGTTTAAGACTTCACACCAGATTAAAAGCTTAGCGAGAACTGAAGGCGAGAAGCGAGAGAGCCCAGATTTGTATGGCTCTTTCCCAGTCGCGTTGCAAGCGATCTTCTTGATTCGTTTCCAGCTCTCTAACCACCTTCTGCCCCCAACCCACCCGGAACCACTCAATTCCAAATAAAGAGAGGACTCACTGTAACACGACCCCACACGCTGACTCCTTGGATTTACTAACAGGGACTTGATCCACCAAAATGGCTAGCCTTTCCTCTCGCTACATTCCCCAGCTTGGGAAACCGAAATAATACACTGGCAGCGGGAAAGAACAGCCGGCAGGGACAGAGGAGGCTCCACTTACCTTTCAGGATTTTGTATTAGAGGGAAAGAGCCCCCAGGTAAATGACAAGGTGAATTCCCCCGCAGGTAGGACGCAGCGAGCGCGCAGCCTAGCCTTGACAATGTGCATGTGCTCGGAAACTGCAAGTTACTATCAAGGCAACTTAAGAAAAGGGGAGGAGTCTGTGCCGCGCCAAGGGGGCGTGGGGAAACGAAAACACAGGGCTGGGAGGGCAGCCGGAGCTTTCTGGAATATTGATTAACCTTGTCCCGCTCGGAACCTGCGTGCTGGCTTTGTGTCGCGCCCCCGATCACTTTTCACGCCTTGACACTTCCCTGTCCCGCTCGCCGCGCAGAAGCGGACCCTGGAAGAACTGAGGGCGAAAGCGAAGGCTCACTCAGCAAAAGCTGGGAGTCCTGAGGAGCGCGTTTCAAGGTAGACTGTTTCCCAAAGACTAGATGTAATCATCTCCTTTCATTGCAGGTCCCTTCCCCTTGAAGAAACACGACTCGGTGTGCCCTTTTGCCTGCTTGTACAGCTTATTATGAAAGAACCCCCCCTCTTCCCCCCCCCCTCGGATCTGGAGAAATAACTGACATTTCTTGGGACGACCTGGAACGCGATCAAGTATGGAGGGGGGGGAAATTAATGCTTACTACTATTCTCTCAGCCTTGCCTAACGTTACTCAAAACGCAAGATGAGACATGCCTATATTTTGGTAATTTAAACTTCATTACAACAAATCAGATTTAGCTCAAAAGTGCTGGCATTGCCAAGGTAAGAAACAAAGTGGACAATTGGGGGGGGGGATAAATTAAGACCCAACATGCAAATGCATAGGTTTGAAGTATCCCGGGATCTAGGGTTAAATTGCTGCTGTTGGGATGCTGTGGTTGTCTTGGGCTGCCTCACTTCCTCTTCATTTTCAAAATTCTCAGTGTCTTTTTAGTTCATACAGCTGATAGCTCTGGTCATTTCCTTTCAAAAGGAAGTAGGTTTTTTGGGTTTTGTTTTGTTTTTTTTCTTAAGCCTGTCTTCTCTCCCCTCCGAAACCTCAGACTTGCCCATCAAGAGTTCAAGTGAGTAATAAACTCACCCCTCAAAATCACAGGCGGAGTCCTGTGTTCTTATTCACGAAGTCTCTTTCCCCCCCTGCAAATCCGGCCCAATCTTAGTGTCTGTTACCTGACTAAGAAATCCATCCCACCCCCACCCCCCACCCCTCGCACCTCCCCTGGCCCCAGTAGCAAATCCAGGAAGAATAGAAAGAAAAAGCTGTTGCCATTTTCAACTGTCCTCTATTCATCCTTTCCAGCAGCTACGACTTGGGGAGCAATGGAGAACTGTCAAAGTGCTTTTCACCACGACAGATTAGCACAAGTTCTAATAACTTCCTAATTTGACTTCATTGTAAGAGGGTTTTGAAAATACCTACTTTGGACAGCCTCGGTCTACAGCCATCTTTCTCTTCTCATCTCTAATGTCACTAATCAACTGGATGGCACATTTTAATGCTTAGTTACACAGTATTTATTAAATATAGGGAGATCTGTTGGCCTTGTGGGTAAAGAAGGTGCACTGTTAACCCAAAGGCAGGCATTTCGATTCCACCAGATGCTCTGTGGGAAAAAGATGGGTAATCATCTTCTGTGCTATTCACAGTCTCTGGTAATCCACTGCAGGGCCAGCTATGAGTTGGTTACAACTGGAAGGTGTATAACAACAAGTATGAATTAATACTACTACTGTGCTGTATGGCTTATCTATTAAAATTGTCATACATTTTAATTCTTTGAGGAATTACTGGAAGGCAAGAACCTTTCTTATAACTAATAAATGCTAAGGAGTGATGCTGCCAACCTGAAGGCAAGCAGTTTGAATCCACTAGCTGCTTCACAGCTAGTCAGCTATGGATAGGTTCTGTCTAACAGAAGGTAGCAAAAGACATCAATAATATGTAAATACTAAAGATATATAATAAATTTTATGTAACCTTTTGAACTAGATAATGTAATATAAGAGAAAGACATTAAATAGGGAGTCAGCCTAAATGAGGAAGATCTTCATTGACATCATGGTTGCCACATTAGCCTACAAGTACCAGCAATCAGATTATGAGGGGTGGAGGCCTGTGTGGTGTCTTGTTCTGGTCGACATAGGATTGCTGAGTCAGAATTTATTTGGCCTAACAATAATCACGTGAAACAAAATGCTTTTCAGTCTTCTGTGTTTAAACAAAATTAGCTTTCCCCCCTCCCCCCTTTCTGTAGACATTCCTGGCCTAGGTGCGTGGAACAGATCTCATTTCTCAATGTCATGGCTACTTTTTATTTACTACACTTGCTCCCATTTGAGCTGTGGGCTTAGGACTGATTTGCCCACATTCTTTGTGGAAGTGACTTGGATTTCAAAGGAAGTTTAAAGAGATATCACATTCTTTTAAGTAGAGTTTCAAGCTGAATGCCATTTTCTTTTTGTTGTTGTTGTTTTTTTTTCCAAAGGCAAAAAAAGGGGGGATTGGAACAGATTACCGTAGAGGTTAGAAGATTTTCATGTTTCCTTTTTCCTACTCCGTGGTGTCGTTAGGTGTCCACCTCATAACAGTCTTATGAACTGAAACCCTGCCCTGATCTACATCATCTTTACAATCATTGTCCTGCTTGAGCCTGTTGCTCTCACCACTGGGTGAATGCATCTTGTTGAGGACCTTCCTCATTCTCACTCATCTTTACTTTACTGAGAAAAATATTCTTTTCCAGGAACTGATCCTTCCTACTTACATGGACAGAGTATGTAAAACAAACTCTTCTTCCTCGTTGCCTCTTAGTATCATTCTGGCTTTATTTCTTCAAGGCAGACTTATTCCTTTTGATAGTTCATGATACATTCAATATCATTCTTCAGCATCATCATTTAAATGCATTGATTCTTCATTCATCTTCTTTACTCACTTTTCAGCTTTCAAATATATGTGAGGTGATTGAAAATAACATGGCTCAAGTCAGGTGTGCCTTAGTCTCAAAAGTATCACTTTCACACCCATATTTATCACGGGTTTGTTCACAATAGCAAGGAGTTGGAAACAACCTAAGTGCTCATCAACAAACAAATGGATAGAGAAGCTCTGGTATATTCACACAATGGAATAATACTATGCTGCATTGAAAAATAAGGAACTCATGCAATATTACTAAAAATTGGTAACCTTCGAGGACATTATGCTGAGTGAAGTATCTCAGTCACAAAAGGACAAGTACTTCATAGTGCCACTGTTGTAACACA